AATTTAATTTAACCTTGTTTTAATTCTAATAGCTTCTTGTTACTACTAGTAAGGCACTTGTTACTAATAGCGTGGCACTTGTTACTACTAGTAACAATTCTTAAGGATAGAGGTTGGGATGTTGAGTTGGACACCGTCACTTCCATGCCATGTCTGTCAGGGGCTATGTTTGCTTAAACCCCATGCCTAGGGGTTTGAAATAGAACATGGAAAAGGCAAGACATGACATCCTGTGCATTCATCCATTGGAGCGCCGTGCTCAGCACCAAAATCCGATCCATAAGAACATTTTACCATCTATTTGAATGCAAGTTTGTCAAGACCAGAGGCAGTTCTTGTCCTTGGATCATCAGGTTTCATGGGGAAAAAATCGTTTATATATCTCTTCAGCTGCTCGTTTTCCTTGAAGGTAGATGTTTCGGCCAGGAATATGGATGCAATGATGAGCCAGCCTGTTTATGCCTGTCTAGCCGCAAGAAAAAAAGCACGTCAGTCAACCCATGACGGAAACGATCCTCGCAGCAATCATTGTCCGATCCAGTTTGATTGATCAGCCATGGCAATGAGACTTGCAGCACTGAAGGGTTTGAATGGCGATATGGTTTGTCTAGAAATTGGACCAGAGACAACAGGTGGAGAGCTGAAGCAGCAGATCAAAGAAGCTCAGCTGGACGAGGTTGCTCGCAAAACTACTGGCGTGGAGATTCTTGTTGGAGACAGGCTGCTGAGCAATGACGTGAAAGTGTTGGAGGATGCGCAGCTGGAAGATTTGGTTGTCAACATTGTTTTCAAACCAAACAGCCTGACCTGCTCGCACAAGCATGCGAAGGCTGTGGCGGAATATGTCCATGATATTGATCAGACACTGCTACTGAGCATTGAAATTCCCAGCCACGATGCTCGAATTGCACAGAGGGCCTTCCAAGACTGCGAAATGTTGGCCAAAGTTGCCATCCCAGACACTGTCACCATCATTGGCGATCATGCCTTCGCCGGTTGCCGCTCTTTGGTGAGCTTGAACATCCCGAAGTCAGTGACCGACATTGGGGATTTTGCCTTTTTCAATTGCCGCTCTTTGGTGCATGTGGCAATCCCAGCATCAGTAACTTACATTGCATGTAATGCTTTTGGCCTTTGCACCTCTTTGAGGACAATGGATCTCCCAAACTCAGTGACTGATATTGGGGATCGCGCCTTCAAGAATTGCAGCTCCTTGGTGAACTTGACCATCCCAGACTCAGTGATCCATATTGGGGATGGTGCCTTCCAGAATTGCACCTCTTTAGTGAACTTGACCATCCCAGACTCAGTGACCCACATTTGGGATTCTGCTTTTGACACTTGCAGTTCTTTGGAGAGCTTGAGGCTCCCAAACTCAGTCACGCACATTGGAGATTGGTCTTTTCAGAGTTGCAGCTCCCTGGTGAACCTGACCATCCCGAACTCGGTGACCAAGATTGGATATGAAGCTTTTC